ACTTCCATGCACTGACTCATGACATGGGGTCCCCTCGGCCATGCATCCAAATGAAGAATGACTTACCCTCCCGCCACGGTGAGCATCTCCTAGGGCAACTTAGCAGCACGGCCCTCAACAAAAAGCTTTGATTGCTTACTTCTACAATGAAAGCCTAGCGGTGCCAAATCAAAAAACCTAGAGCAGGTCCTTGCCTTTTGCCTGCCCCTCAACACCTCAACTAATCAAAGGGCCAACCCTGCAAACCTGCTGGGGGGTTTCGGTACTTCTCATTTGGTCATGGGTCAAAAGCCCGTACCCCCAGTGAACACCCCAATCCCCACTAAAATAGACTAAAATGGGTGGTGCACCTACCATGGGATCCCATTGGTTTTGACCCACAGTCATTGTGTATTCGGCAAAGCTGCCCCTTGCCCCTGCAAGAGCTGAAGCCAATACCCTGCAAGGGGCTCCTCTCCCACCAGTTCAGAGGCCAGCCGCCCCTCAAGCAACCCAAAGCCACCGCGACTCGATACTCACTAGTCCCAGTACCACAACAAATCTGGTTATAAACTTGGTTTGAACAAAACACAGCTGGCAGCGTGCGGCCATCTGAAACAAATCAACAACAACCTGTTTGGTGAAGTCCCTTGTGTCCCGGCCTCTGCACTGCAAGGTAGGCCTGGCCCTTGCTGCCTGAGCTGTCGAACGGGACCCCGTGTGCAATGAACAACCAGCCAACCACCCGATCACATCCGGTCACTGACGTACTTACTTGGCGTACCGCTTACTCAACCACACGTCCAGTCTTCCTTCCATCCTATCGTAGCCCATGGGAGCCAACACTTGGAATTTGACACAGGACAGGCGTCACGATCAGCTGGAACAAAACGCGAACCAGCCGGCTCTTGGCCTGGGATGGATCGGTTTGGGACGCCTCTTGCCCCTGTCGCCCGCAAAGGTCTAACAACACAACAGCACCAACTTGACATAGAGCAACACTTTGTAAGATTCCAGGACTCAAAGAACATTGCTGACGCTGGGGCAAAGAGTCCAGCGCGTATATTTAAAACAAACCCTCCTGGCCATGTTCAGGGCAAAGGGGCAAACCGAGGCACACACAAAAACCATCCCAACGCCGAGGGGCAAAAACTATCCGGGGCCACCTCCCGGAAGGCACTCCGGATAGCCTGCAGAAAGCAGGCCATCGTGACTCTGTCAGCTTGGATCAGGAAAAAAGAAAAGACAACACCCAAAATCCACAACTCATACACCATGCCCATGTTCCCTTTAAGGGGAGGCCCTGTCAGGTTCCATGTTGATTAGGCGGGCAACTCAAATCAAGGCAGACTTTGGATCCTTGCGTGATTGGCAACCTTCATGATGGACTTATCCAACCAGCCTGCCTTTAGGCCATTGTAGGCCTCTAGGCAATGCCTTGCGCCTGACCAGTGGGTTTGTATGAGCACCACGCCAAACGATTTTGCCATGCTCCTTAGGCATGGCATCCGACCCGGTGACATGTGGGCGCACATCACGGAAAGGGTCCGGTCCTGTGGCAGGAATAACTCAGCCCCAACTTGCTGAAAGCGGTGGCATCATGGCATCAATGCTCCTTCAACTGGCTGGCACGAACCCCGCCACTGACCGAGCAACGTTCGATTGATTCTGGTATGACGGTATACGTACAGCTTAAGTCGGAGGCGTAACTTGAGGACACAAATAGCTACCACTGACTGTAAACGGAGTGCCAACAAAGAACTTGCAGTTGAGAATCATCCTGCTACGCTGCGACAGCTTACAACAGCCAACACCTCACTGGAAGCCCCACCCTGCCTGTGCTTGTGAAAGCTCATGCGTGGACATGACGTGCACGAACTCTTTGAAGTCGAGCCTCAGTTCAAGAGTTCAAGACCACAAGTGGAATCCGTTATTTTTGAATTAACGGCCCGCCCCCCCCCCCAAAAAAAAAAACAAAAACAAAAGCAAACAAGTGTTGATAAAAGCGACTGCCTCAAAAAAGCCTCAGCACTTAAGTATAGGCTTTTCACGATACCGTCTTAGCAGGCGACTCGTCGTTGCCGTCCGCGTCGCTGGATTGAAGCATCCTCGGACAGGCTTGGGCAAGTCCCAGCCCTTGGAACACAAATCTGATGGCCCACTCGCGAAAACGAAGCGGATCCACGAATGCTCCACGCATCTCCACTTGGGTCGGTGCTTTTGTTGAGGGGTGCCCCTTTGTGGGTTTGGTCGAAAGGAAAACCGAGAGGCTGAAAGTAAAGCCTGTTCTTGGGGGTTGCCCCGATTTTTCGCACAGACCATCACAGACCCACATCTTGCCGACAACCCTTCCTCCCACAACATAGCACGAGAGGGAGGACAATCTGCAACCACAACGGTCCACAGCGGTATCGGTTCAGGACATTACGATGGCATTAGATCAGAAAGGTTGACCCAATTGCCAAAATCTGCTCCTACATACCTCATTTATAAGTGCAAAGTGCCATCAGAGCGCACAAGAGCGTGGAACAGAATGGAGGAAAGAGTGGAGCGCAGGGTGGGCGAAGAGCGGAGAGAAAGAGTGAACAGAGTGGATAGAAGAGTGGACAGAAGAGCAGAGCGAAGATTGCGAAGAGGAGAGAGCGCAGCGAAGAGTGGGTGGAGCAGAGAAGAGCCGATAAAAGCGCGGGCAGAAGAGAGAGAGGAGCGGAGAGGAAGAAGAGCGGGGAGCAAAGCGCAGACTGAAAAAGTGGGCAGAAGCCGAGGAGCCTTGCGGGCCAGCAAGCAAGCAAGCAAACCAGCAAGCCAGCCAGCCAGCCAGCCAGCCAGCCAGCCAGCAAGCCAGCCAGCCAGCCAGCAGACAAACGCACATTTTTCAAACAACAACCACAACAACGTCACGCGCACACAAAACAGCGAGGCCCTTTTCTTCCATCTGTTGTCAATGGCGCCTGTACAACCAACTTCTAGCGAGACTCTAGCGATTGCCGAGATGTGGGTTCTGACATTTGGCTGAAAACTATGCCTGGTTCTGACATTTGGCTGAAAACTATGCTTGGTTGGCAATCAGCCGGTTTAGTCCAGCACGTCAGTTCTGTAGGTACCTGCCCACAGAACCACGGAACATGGGTCTCAAAACACGGGATTCCTTTGGGGCGCTGATCATCAACAGGTAATCCCCCTATGTTTGGAAGCACCCTGAGCCAGTAGCCTAGGCATGCAAGCCTAGGCATTCCATCGGTGTGCCCTCAATTAGGCGAGCTAGGTTCCTGGCACTTCCATTTGTCCAGGTTCGAGAGACTTGTGCACTGGCAGCCCTGGTGACACTCTCTGCTCCCTCAATGGGAAGCCGTGGGAAGGACGAGCCCTCAGAATGGCCTGACACAGTCACCAATCCTCAGGCTACGACTCCCCAGCTGCCCGAGGGCTGCTCAGCCCTGAGCCGCGTACCACACGCGGAGGCCCTCACGCCACCTCTGCACCACGGTCTCCCACCTCGGCCAGAGTCATCTCATGCAAGGGGGCATGGTGGTGGCCACGACAGTGGTGGCCAACACAAATTCTTATGGAAAGTAGAATGCCAACTAGAAATTGCCCCAGCTATTCGTGACGATGCAAAAACCCCCAAAAAAAAAACATAGCCGCTTCATATCAGTCCATACCAGGTACACGAAGCTTGTTGATGTGCAAAATCGGTTCATCGACAAGCGCTCCCTTAGCATTTGCCAGACAAATCCTGACGAGCGTCGTTCGGCCCTGTCAACCACGGCACCGCAAGCGAGGGCTACCAGCTCTAGTGCCATGTGTTGGCACAACACGTGGCTACCATTGGTTGGGCGTTTTGCTGCTGCACCCATTGGCCCTCCACCGCCCCTTCTGAACGATACCAAGGCAAAGCTGGCATCTTGCAAAATCAGTTGGAAAAGCGCAAAAAGAAAGCAGGTAACCCTCGAAGGGTTGATCCATGTCGATCCCCCAATCTCTTGCTTCACCCATCGTTCTCTTTGGAAAGCCACTCATTCTCCAACAGCTTCGGCCAATTTTTGTAGAGAAGGATCCCTGAAGAGAATGGGGAAGGTACGGATGGAAACCTGAAGGTCAAGGAAGGAGGGGCGTAGGAAGATCCTCCAGTGTGAAGGGATTGGGACACACGCAACACTTCCGCCCCTGCATTGTGATAGGCAGGATGTAGCAGATTTCCGAGTCGCTGCCGCTTGCTGGGGTGCTGCGTAGGGTCCGGCGTCATGGGCGCCGTGTCATCCCGGAGGTGCCGGGGGTTCCTCTCATTGAACGCCTGGCAGCTGGCAAGTCCTATGACCAAAGCACATGGATTTGCGAGATACGGTATCCCCAGGGTAGGTAAAACCCGATATCCCACTACCAACGCTGGTGGCCAAGTTGATGCCACAGAACTGCCAGGGCTTTTCGCCCGCTGCGCTAATATAGCATGTGGGCCGTGCGTCGGATCCCAGTTCTGCCCTCTGTCCGTGAGAGGACACCCCATCCACATAAGACGCCATGCTGGCCCCAGGACTGTCCATCCAGTAAATTCGCCGACCCGCACTCACTCATTGACCGCCCTCCTGGTGGCTAGGAACGACTAACCGACCAATCAACCAATCAATCCACCAACAAAGCAAGCAAGCAACCAACCAACCCACCAACCCACCAAGCAAGCACCCAGACCAACAACCAATCGCAACCAAAGCGTCCGACCCGCGTGGTCTGAGCCTCGCCTGGTAATCATCACGGTCTTTGTGGGCTGCAATCACCTGGTGCCAAAGATTCACGTACACCCGACACAAATGGACCAAGCCCCAGCATAAACATGATTAAGCCGCTGTTTAACCAAGCCCCGTGTAAATTCCTGCAAAAAAAAACCAGGGGCTGATTGCTTAAACAACTCTGCCGAACCCTGATGGTCTGATGGTCTGGCGTTCCCGTCATTTTATTGAAACAAATCCCGAAAACAACTGCCCTTCAGCTTGGGTTTCAGGGTGGGATACCAAAGGTGCACGGTTCATGAGTTCGCCATAAAGTGGGCCACTTGGCAACTTTGGGCCACCATTCCTCTTGGTTGCTGTTGACCCCACTGCAAAAAGTTTAACTCTTTGGGGGTTTAGTGGAAAAACCCTTTATTTCAACCCAAAAAGTTAAAATCTAAAGATCCAAGCCAATAGCAATCAAGTCCTGTACCAAGCCGACTTGATTGGCGCAAGGCCCACCTGACGCCGCTTCTGCAGGCGCCGCTCGGTATCCTCTGTGGCCTCCGAGCCCTCCTCCTCCTCGCCGAGTGGGCGGTGTTTGGGATGCACCGAAAACGGGCCCCAAAAAAGGGGCTGGAAACTTCCCCACCTTTTTCGTCGCCTGTTCACACAATCCCCCTGGAAGTCATAAGAAAAGAGAAAAGTGCTTCTTTTGGTTGAAATTCCCAAGTTGGGAAGGGTTTTTGGTGGCTCAGACAGGTTTTTCTTTGGATCCCTGGAAGGCTACGGAGACCAGGCGGAATTGGAGAAACTTGGAGGGCATCCAACGGGGACTTCTGCCGCTCACTAGGCGATTTTTCCGAAAGGCGTCTAAAGGGAAGCCCGCACTAAGTTCGCCCTCCCAGCCCGGGCTGCAGAGATACGAGTCATCGCCGTCAGCCTTGGCTTTGTTTTAAGCCTGATTCACATCACTGGCAGTTTGAAAACCCATGGCGACCCCAAGGATAGATTTGCCAAAGCATCCTTCTAGCAGAATCCAATGCCCGCAATGTGGGGTGGGGTGTGCGTGCATAAAGGTTAAGCCCCGTGTTCATCTCAATTTGTTGGTCAGGGTGATCAATGTACGCGCCAACAACCCAGAATCCGCAATGGAACGTGTCCATGGCGCTTTGGACTGCTAAACATTGGATCTAGAAAGTGGCAAGCCCCAGCTTTCACAGCTTTCAAAACTTTCGCTCTCTTTCTGTGCACGGAAAAGCCTACCAGTATCAGGAACGGGTTGCCATAAGTTATGGGCATATTTTAGATGGGGATCTGCTCTGCCAAGATAACTGAAAGTGTGTGCACAACCCCCGCTGGACAACTACGTTCTTTCCTTTTGGCCAGGGGCGTCGTAGATGTCCATGTTTGTTCAACTGGCACGTCCGCCAATCCGGAAATGCATGTGACGAAGGGCTCAGATTTTTTCTGTGGCGCAAATTCTACTTGGCTTCTCTTTTAAGCCAACTTGCAAACGTGAATCCTTAGAATAGAAAGAAAACAACTAAATCCTGAAAAACTTGGTTGCTGTTGACCCCCCTGCAAAAAGTTTCACTTTTGGGGGTTTAATGAAAACTTGATTTCAGCCAAAAAGTGAAAGTCTAAAGATCCAACCCAGTAGCGGTCAAGAAAAGCTAGGTCCTCCAGTAGAGAGGGCAGAATAAGGGTACCCTTTTCTTCTGGTCTGTTCTAGTAGGGGAACCCTCCCCCAAAAAAAGGAAACGCTGAGAAAGGGCACCTAGCTGGGGGACCTAGTGGAAAACCCATTAGTTGGCAAAAAGTTAAAGTCCGAACAGCCCTTGGCAAAATGCGCCAAAGGAAAGGAACCCGACACAGCCCCAGCGGCCAGTTGCCAGTTCACCCAACTTTCATGGCCTGGCGCCGCGGCCGCCGCGGAAACCGCCGCTCTGTGTCCATGGGCTGATCGGCCTGCCGAGACCCCGGTGCTTGGGGCTTGATGCTTGGATGCTTGCCTCGATTCTGCATTCACTTGCCTGGATTTTTCGGACCCCTCAGACCCCCCCCCAAAAAAAAAAAACAACTGCTGGATTTTTCGGACCCCAGAGGCCAAAACAAAAAAAAAACGAGTTGTTGTTGCCTGGCGAGTGGAATCTCAACATCATGGAGCTTACTTCCATGCCACATCTTCTGCGTGGCTCCAGGGGCCAATTCCACTCGTCAGCTACAGTCTGTTCGGGTAACCAAGTAAGTTGCTAAAGCCACCTGGGTCCTTCGTTCACAGGTGCAACATGGAGTTAGCCCTGTCAGTCGTGGGTTTCCCAGGTGGCTATCCATTGATAGACTTAACCTGGGGTCCCTCTTTGAGCTCCATGATTTGTATAAGAGTCATTTGGGATGAGTTTGAGGACTGCGGACATGTGTCAGGAATGTGTGACGAAACGCGTCAGACAAATTCCGTGGTGGGTATGTCCTGCTAAACCTTTGTCAGCCTGACCGAGCCCGGAAAGCTTTCTATGCTCAGGAAGGCTGAAGAGCGGCGCTTTGCGGCGGTTTACATTTTGACCAAACAGGCAAGTCGTCAGCGGAACAAATCGACCAATTGCTGGGTTTGCCTCAGAGGGAGACTCAGAAAAAACTAGGTCCTCCAGTGGAGCGGTTAGAACAAGTGTACCCTTTTTTCTGGACGTCTATTTTAGTAGGGGAACCCTCCGAAACGGGTTAAAAAGCGGACCTGGAAAAACAACCCCCCCCCCCCCCCACCGTCCTTTATCACCGAAACTCCCTCCGCTCCGAGGACCGGCCAGGCGCGCCACTGGCGCGCCGCGCCTTCTGGCGCTTGCTGCTCTCCGCTTCCGTGGCCCACTGCCGCTTCTGGCGCCGACCCGAAGAGCCCCAGGAGCTCATCGCCTCGTCCACCGCCTCCTCGGTGACGTGGCTCCGGCGCACCTCGGGCGGAGGTGTCCCGGGAATTTTCGCGCGTGGGCGCGTGGCTTTGGTCACCCAGGTCAGGTCACCCAAACTTTGCGGAATTTGGTGAGAGTACCCGGCTACTCTGTGTGAAGGTTGGTTTGGGGGGGACCAAAAGGCAAACCGGGATCCGGTTTGCTCATCATTCACCCCCAAAGCTGGGATTGGCGCTTGGGCAAGGACTATTACCGCATCCAAAATAAGGAAGCCAATAGGGCTCAAAAGCAACCAGCACTCCAGGAAAGAAGACTCAACACATTCTCCGCACTGAATGGAAACAGATTACACTATGCCCCCCATGTGATTCTGCCACCTGTTCCACTGGCTCTCAAGGGTATGTCTTTTTATGGGGTTGCCCCATTTTGTAGTTTTGAGGGGCACCAAAAAAAACACACCGACACACCCGCTTGTTGTGGAGTGCATCTACTGGACCCAGGCCTACGCCCAACCCCCCGCTTCCAGCGAATCAGGCCGCGGTGCCAAGGCCTTGCCCTCAGAGACGGTCGGCATCTCCTGGCATCGGGTGAAGCATGTGGGGTTCATTGGGGTATTAGGTCCTCCAGTAGAGAGGTTCGGGTTTAGGGTACCCGATTTTTTTTCAGGACGTCTAGTTTAGTAGGGGAACCCTCCCCACAAAAAGGGTAAATGGGCACTACTGGGGACCTAGGGTAACATCGAACTAGGCATTTTCGCTTTTGAGGGTATCCCACATTTGGTGTGAGTTTGTTTCATTCTCGGGAAACAAAAGGAGAACCACGATGAATGGCCGGTTTATAGGCTTAAAGGCCACCACAAGAGCAGTTGCCCTCTACACCTCATGCAGAAAGAACCGTTTTGCTGAGCCAATACTGCAAGATAGGCAACACGGCCAGGTTGACTTTAAGGCAAAACCCCTCATAAACTTCATGTTAAATTCATCTGGCAACGAGTGGGCATCTGTTTGTCTCTTGGACAACATCGGGGCGCCCCAAAAATTGCGGTTGTCCTTTTATTCCACGCAAGGTGAAAGAAACGGGCTTCCCTTTCACCGACTCCGACACAAACCCACCGAATCGAGCCTTGCGCAGCTTCTCGGGCGAGAGCTCTGTTTGGCGCATCTGCTCAATGAAGCCCTGCGACGCCACCTGGGACGCCTGGGAGTCCTGGCGAACCAAAAAGCCGAGAATTCCCAGGCAGCTCGGTGCCGATCTGAACCCCCACGTGAGCAAAGCGTGAAAAATACCGTGCCACCTAAGGACCTGAAACACACCCACCCACCCTACCCACCTACCCACCTACCCACCTACCCACCCCGCCACCCACCCACCCACCCACCCACCCAGCCACCCAGCCACCCAGCCACCCACAGCCACCCACCCACCCACCTACCCACCCACCCACCCACCTACCCACCTACCCACCCACCTACCCACCTACCCACCTACCCACCCACCACCCACCCACCCACTCACGCACCCACTCACGCACCCACTCACGCACCCACCCACCCACCCACGCACGCACCCACGCACCCACCCACCCACCCACCCACCCACCCACCCACCCACCCACCCACCCACCCACCCACCCACCCACCCACCCACCCACCCACCCACCCACCCACCCACCCACACACACACACACACACACACACCACACAAAACACACGCACACACAGTTATCCACGGCTCGAATGGCAGGGGCAACTAAAGCCCCAAGATTCTGCAATGGCAAGGCCCTGCCGCATGAGCTACATGCTTCTCAGCGCTCAAGGCCATGGGTGGATGTCCTACCGGGTGCGACAAGGCGCATCCTATACATGTACAGTACGTTGGACCCAAGAGAACCTGCACCCAACCAAATGGAACTGCAGAGGCCCCCATATGTTTTCCAGTGCGGCGACCCGCGCCTGCTTTTACGAATCTAGGCAAAACTCACATTTTACCCATGGAGGCATATGGCCCCTAGGAAAGGAAGCCACGTGGCAAAGCGAAAAGCCGTTAGCGTGACGTCGCTTCGCAGAAATCGAGCCGGCTCCTGGTAGGAATCTTGATGAACGGGAGGTCCGGGCAGAACCTCTCGTTGGCTGTCCTCCTGCGAGGAGTCGAAGACATCCGCCCATCCTGCAGCCAAACGAGGCGCGAGCCACTGGCCCCCAACTCGCTAGCAAGTCAAATCCCATGGCAAGGGATTAGCTGGTCGTTTCACCCGCGTTTAGTCAGTGTCTTGCCTGAATTCCCCTGCATATCATTGCATGGCTTTGCAGAACGCCAACTGATGCTCCGGGGTTGGCCAAAACGAGCCGATCGGAGCATTTTCTCTGCCGAGCATCTCGGACGTGTACCAGGCTGCGCCACCACTGTTGACAT